GCCACTGACGCCGGCGCATAATAAGATGTATGTAGTATTTTCACACGCCTCTCCGGGACGCCTCCGGCTTATCATCGCCAACCTGGCTGTCCGGAAGTCGGACGTTGAGAGGCTCTGCCTCATGGTTCAGTTGGCCGGCCGCTCGACGGAAGCAACTGACTGACATGTCATATATGGCGACGCTGCGACGTCAGAGCCCCATCCTCTAGCTTCGGGAGTTGACGTCGGCGGAAGACATGGCGAACATTAAGCACCATTGGGAGACTCTCTTCAGTGATTTCGTCGACAAGCCCTTGTGTTGAAGTCGCAGGCAGAATAGGGGCTATGAAACGAAGGCATCCACCCTTCGCTTCAAAAGATGGTGTGTTGCGTGTGGAGCACCGTCGCGCAGTCGCCATCGCACGTCTTTTCACACCACCACCACCACCATCAAGCAGTCTGTCTGTGCAAAGAAACAGGGTTATGGGCCATGCGGTAAATCGGAAACGGCATCGTTTAAGCTACACCCTCACCAGCAGGTTAAATGAGACGTTTGTGGCGAATGGTTCTTAAAAGGCTGCTCGTCGATCAGGGTCCTTCGGCCCAAGCAGAGCGGTCCCCTAAAACTTGGCATTTTATGTATGAGGTATGCAATTCGTGATGGAGAGGCGCCGAGAGATTTCGACGACCTTCGTTGAAGAAACGCTTCAACATCTGCCTAAGGCGGGCTGACGTAGTCGGGTTGGGGAATTGGCAAACGAGATGCTCCCATTTGAGCGAACTGGTTCCGTGGTTCGTAGTTGATGTTGTAGAGATGGTTAGGGGATCTCCGTAGCGTATGCTGTGATCTTTTTGTGAAGCTCGTGTTGTGGTCGTCGTGCATCTGGCGATGACAAATAGGGGTAGGCGGTTGCTGCTTCGAAGCAACGCACAACTCGGCAGACAATAGTACAGGTTGCAAGCTTGCAAGCTTGTTACCGCCAAAGAGCAAAGTCCCTATATGCTCTTCTTGAGAGTATGCAGTGGTCTAATACATCACTCAACGTGATATCAGAGGCGGCTCCTCGTCATTCCGACTTTGCAACAAGTTCACCCACCCGCCTGCTCGACCTCGAGGCAGCCACCGCCGTTGGAAATGGGATACAGAGTGTCTCGGACAGGGAGACACAAGATCGACGGTTGGCCGTAACCACCGTACCGAGCGTGCCACGATGTGATCTCAGGGTCTTTGTGTGTAGCGCCGGGGACGTCCCCTAGACGCCGAGAACATGAGTCTCGTCCCATCGTCCGTCATACCGGCGCTGAACGTTGCCCCAGTGCCCCCTAGTATAGCGCCAGGTAAGGTCTCAGGATTCGCTTGTGCAACGAGTGAAGATCCAAACGGCGTTCCGTGCAACGATAGGTGCCGAAGACGGAGACTATAGTCAGATTCTCGGGAACGAACTTCCACGTACGACCATAGATACTGAAGAATTCGGGATCCCGTCCGCTCTCCCATAGACAAGTCAGTAATCGTCAGACCAGTACTCGGGTGGGTGACCACCGGGGAATCACTGATGTTGTACGTTTTTGCATCTTTGGAACGATTTCGTTTGTGGTGGGCGTCGAAGGCAAGCGTCAGGACGGGGAGCCTGAGGAGGGCTGTTCCTGGCAAGTAGTCAGGTTCAATAGCCTAGCGAGCGCTCTTTTACCTGGATTGAGGATCCAAACTTGTCATTGTTAGTGGTCACGCAATTTTGTGTTGCGGGAACGAGAGCCTCATTGACAGGATATGTGCCAACCTTGCTGACATGCGTGGATATGGCGTCATGCAATCCCATCCCTCAAATGGCAAGCCGCCAACGACTGCTCAACCACCCCCTGGTGGTCTTGAGGTAGCGATGGGATGCTTGGGTCTGGGCCCTCGGAGGATTGAAGACCTGCCCTCTCCTGAACACATGTAGCTAGTATATCGTGACGTCGCCTGTAGTCGCCACCGCGTAGTGTGGTAGTCCGGTGAACTCCGGCCCAGAACAGCATCCATCAGGTCTGGCAGACAGGTCTCCGAGTCATCTGTCTCGGGGAACGAGGAAGGCAAACAGGGCAACACTGTTGGCACAGAAGCCAGCCGACACGCAAGTCCCAACCCGAATGAAGCCAGCGTAGCCGGCAAGCCTCACTCCAGCGAACCACTTCAAGCATGCCTGTCGTTGTTGGAGCAGTTTTCCTCTCCACACCACTTCCCAATGGGAAGCTTACCGGCTCCTAGTAAGGCCAACTCGATGTCGAGAGATAACCCAGCCTAGAGTGAGCAGGTGTCAGGACCCTAGACCTGGACAAGTTCGGGGCCATGGCGGCCTGCTGGGCTTGGCCGGCCGAGTGTGTCTGTTGTGCCTGTCGCTTACGAGTGCTGGGGCCGAAACGCTCATCGACAACACTGCCATCAGAACTATCCAATTCAGGGGATCTTCGTTAGCCCGCAGGAGGTGAGTGCTGCAGGCAACAGAAATTGGAACGCGTGCTATATATATATATATGCTGGCAGTCCTCCGTGAACATTTTCGCCGAGATTTTGACATATCCTGTAGAACAAAAATCGGAGACGTTTGGAGTCTGTTGGTCGAAGCTTCCGTGGCACTCCGGCAACGTTCACCACGAAACGACCTTAGGCCGATCTGACCGAAGTGTCGTAGCCGGCGCCAACGGGGACGTGCTCGAGAATTCGGACGGTGATATTGCGTGTTGAGATGTTGAGACTTGGATCTGCCGTCAACAAAGTGCCATGTCCAGCTTTGAGGAAGCTTGAGCCCTGAGATACGTGCGGGCAGTCGTCCAGGGTGCCTCATCATCCATACCCTTCTCGAGGAGTAAGCACCTCCTTGTTGTATCAGCCGATCGCACGCTTCTGACATCCGTTAATCGTTACCAAACGATACGCGCATACGGTGGACGACAACAGTCTCCCTAATTGCTCCAACGTCGACTCTTTTCTTGCAATCGGCGGCTTGGTCTTGAGCAATGCTTTGGCTTCGCCTAGTCCCTGGCTGCACGCTGAAGGATGTCGCCCGCGAGGCACGCTGGTAGTCCACTGATTACTCGGAGTGATGCCGCTCCGTCCCCGTTTGCTGGTTTCTCAGCCCGTCTCTCACCCACACCCCGGGCGCTTCTGACAGCGGCGGTCCAGGACCCCAGAGGTCCTTCAATGCGAGTGCCTCGCGGCAGCAGCAAGGTAGGCAGCTGGTAGCCCCGTCGTGGGATATCTTGGTGAGGCCGTGCGTCCGCGCTCCATGTCATCGTCCGCCACCGCTTTATTCAGGTCATTGGCTCCTCCTGGTTGCCGGTCGCTGTGTAAGATGCTTCGTCTGGCGTCTGGCGAACTTGGACGCTTCGGGCAAGAAGACAAGACAGATAGCACCATGGGACAGGACCTGAATGCATGTGATGGAGTCCGTTTCCGCCTACCGTGTCTCTTCTCCATCGCCTCTTTACCATCAGTTCAGATCACCCCAGAGAGCGACAAGCTCCTGGCACCTGATCGAAACCAAACGTCGGTTCTTCGTATCGTGCTGCAACACAGCAGGATTTCGGTCGTGGAAGTACAGTGATGGCAGTGGGAAGTCGATCCAGGTCGAGAAATAGCTATCCAGGTCCGATATGGAGCTTTCGAGTCGGAAGCGAAACATGATGCTTTCCTCACGTCGAGCTGATGGGCGAACGGCATCGTATCCATCCACTCCGTGCCGTCTGTGGCCCTCAGCCTTTAGATCGAGCTGGAGCAGCCGCCGTTAGAGGTGATACTGGAGCTCAGCCTGGCGTTGGGAACGAAGTCCACGGCCCCCGCCTACTCGGTCCCGGGAGTAGCTCTTTTCCCGAAGAATGACTTCTCGTTGGGTGAGTGTAGATGGCCTCGCCAACACAGTGTCCCGACACACCGCCATAGCTGCTCGGTGAGGTGAGCAAGAATGGTTGTCTTGCTTTTGGCGTTTTCAACCATGGATGGCTCTGAAGTTGGAGTGGGATGCAGCAACGGGTGCGCCTCGGGCGCAAAAGGCAAGAAGAAGTCGGGCTGACGTTCGGAATAGTCCATCATCCATCACGCCACGGGCTGCTTTCTGGCTTCCGTGCCAGATCTTGATCCCAGCCACTCTTCATTAGCCCTTAACCCATCGGAATCTCGCCGTTGGGTCATTGCTGGGCGATACTGAGCCCATCAGGGTACAGGATCTGTTGACCTTATCAACTCGCGCCTCAACCCTGGTAGTCGAGGTATCGTGGCCGACTCCCGGTTGGTTTGTTAAGCGATCTCCCAGCTCGAAGCAATTCCACACTCACCGCCGGTCACTCCGCCTTTCCCCTGCCCGCGTAAACTGTTGTGACCTGAAACTGACCCGTCGCGATCCATCCAGCATGACTCGCTCAAAGACAAAATTGCCAGCCCGAAAGCACTAGTCGAACTCGATCCGGGATTGCGAGCCGATCCATCACGAACAACAACGGGCAAAGTGCCAGAGTGGTTAATAGGTTAGCCTCGAAAGCTAATGGCTTCGGTCGCGCAGGTTCGAATCCTGTCTTTGTCGTAAAATTTTGCCGTTTCCTTCGAACGACAGAAATATGAATCCTATTTCAGGGTGCATATGCTTTTTTGTTTGTGGCTGCGTTCGGAGATGATGGGATTATTGAGTCTGGAAGACATCGTTCCAAGTCTGTCAAGCCTGGTAGCCGGACGGGAGGTATCGAAGACCTCACGGCATCCTGGACTCATGAGACCGACGGTATTCCTTTGCAACTTGCTTTGGAAGCTCTGCCCTGGGGAGATGTACGTAAACTTTTCCGAGCAGAGCAGGGACTGAGTATCGCTGGCTTCGAACTCCTCTCGAACGTTGCTAATGTCGAAGATGTTGCAGCTTTGCCTCCGAACCCTATTCGGGAGTGAATGGGTGCAGCAAGTGGTTTGATAAAGATGGAAAAGGATAAGCCCCCGAGTGCACTCTTGTCCAAGGGGAGGAGAGCCCTCTGCGCTGGAGGCGACAAAAGCAAAAATATGATCGTTGCAGGGGTCGAACCTGCGACCTTCTGCGATTTCTTCCGTCCTGGAGGACGGATGTAAAGCAGACGCTCTAACCACTGAGCTAAACGACCCATTTGGTCGAATCAGAACACGGGGATCGGTTGGATCGGATGTATGTCGGAGCCGCTAAGTGCGCTTCTAAACGAGGAACCGCTGCGACGTGTTGGATCTGCTGCAAATCAGAAGAACTTTGAGCTCCAGCCAGAGCCTCGAAGGGATGCTTGAGGCTCCGTGCTGAGAATGCGAAGATGGTGGACTCGAATATCTTCGTCGGTGAGGAAGACAAAGCAAACGGTATCAGTGGTGGCTGTTTTTAGATCTGTCAGAACCAAAGCCTGTAAGTCTCCATCCTGGACAAAGAAGGGAATGATTCTTGCTCGAGGCGAAGCACTTGTTACAGCTTTTGGCTGCTCTTTGCGTAAGAAGCTTCTCCATGTCGCCCTGGAGGCTGAATGGAGGACAGTGGTCAAGTTGGCCTCAGTCTTGTAGCTTGGAAATCTGATATAGTACCTCTGAAATGCATCGCGGAAACGCAGGATGCCGCCACGTGTTAGAGGCTGAATGCCCGTTCATCCAGATGGTCTAGACGGCTTCAACCTCCCGGACAGGACACAGGGCACATGTCTGGAATGAGGTGTTTATTGAAATCGCGGGTCTTTTGGAACTTCTTTGAATTGGCAAAGGTGCAAACACCCCGCCAAACAATGAGCGACAAGGAATGACGATGTGTAGCAGACGGCGCTAGGCCGGATTCGGCTGCAAAGTAGATCTTCCTCTTCCCCGCCAATTCAAGGCGCCCCTCTTTTTGCAGTTGAGCAGTGTGGGTTTCCATCTGATGAGCTCTCTTCGCGTGCTCATCCGACGAATTCAGCTTCTCCAAGCATTTGTTGAAGCAATTGCGATCCCTTGCATCAATTGTCTGTCTCTTAAACTGGCTACTTTTCTCTCCACGATGGAATAGACACCCCGTGCAGCTTGTCATTCCCCTATAGCACCCTATCGCCCTCCCCTCCGCCTTCCAGCTGTCCTACGTGGGCCCCGCGATCTGAGTGTGGTTATTGACGCAACCGTGCCGCTATCACCACCGCGCCCTTAGTCACTACCCTCCGGAGACACCAGTGACTGTATCTATACTACCTACCTTCTGTTACCTGGCGACGTACAAACCTGAATCTACTGTCTTGCTATCTAGGCTCTGATCTGTAACTATCTCTCAGAGAATAGGGCAGATCGTGATCTTGGATATACCTGTCCCATATAGCTACAACTCCGAAACAGCTACAACGACTACACAAGCCTTCGTACCAGAGGCCAATCAGACCCTCAACCAAAGGAGAAGACGGTGGACTGAAGCCACGAGGAGAAAAGCAAGACACAGCTTTGCAAGAGGATCCAGAAGAACGGATTTGTCGGCTTGTCCAAGACCGGCTTTACATTCCATTCCAGAGGCCAGAAAGGACAGGACAGGACTCACACACAAAGCGCCGTCTTCGCTTTCTCCCTCCTCTCTTTGTTTTGGTGTGCAATTTCCGACCCAGGTGCTGCATCCCCGTCTCTACTTCTCCAGATTCAACATTTGAGACTCTCCAGCTGCATCAGACGAAGGAAAAGAAAGAGAAAAGGCTTCCACTTGTGCAAACCGACGGAAACATCAAGCAACTGCCTTTTCATCCATCCCCGGAGGGGCGCTCAGCAGGCAAGATCCATCCATCTGATCGCATTTGATCATAGGAGCCGCAACTGTGCATCATCCGAACCTTAACCACTTCCACTTACCCAATCAACCCGGTCTTTTTGGTCAAGCAACTGCCAGGTCGGGAAGTGATTGTCCGAGCGAAGGACGCTACGCCCGATATTCGCAACCGGGCAGCAAAGGATACACTCGAAGCGATCAATAAGGCGATCGGGAGCGACGCGGCAGTTGCCGCGCGGAGGATGCCGAGCGGCGATATGGTCGTTACCTTCCGCGACGCGGCAGACAAACACACGAAGGGACAATGGGTGCAGGACGCGTTTGGACCGGCAGCCCAGGTAACCCGGCGCGAGTACGCTGTGCTCGTGAAGGGAGTGCCGACAGGACCGCTAAAAGCAGCCCAGAACCTCCTCCAGGAGCTGCAGGATAAGAATGGCAAAGCGATCACGAGGGCTAAACCGATGTTCCGCAAGAACACGGGCAACCCTCGTGCATCGTTGGTTGTACACCTGAATGATGTGGAAGCAGCCAAGGTCCTCTGTAACGAGGGACTGATCTGGGAGGCCCAGATCTTCTACTGCGAGCCGTACGCGACGGAACTACAGTTCCGCCAGTGCTACAAGTGCTACGGCCTTGGCCACATTGCGCGGTACTGTTCGAAACAGGCGCGTTGCGGCTGCTGTGCTGGAGCGGCGCATCGGGACGGCGAGGCGAGCTGCCCCCAGAAGGGGCCCAACGGAAGGAAGCAGTGCGTCAACTGCGGAGGTAGGCACGGGTCGTGGGAACGAAGTTGCCCAATGGCGAAGGCGTACCGTACGAAGATCGAGGAGTCGTACCAGCACCGGCCGAGGCAGTTCGCGGTGACTGGAAGCGGGTCGACAGTCCCGTCGTCTGGCACAGCGAGCAGTTACGGCGACGAGACCACGCCGAGCGAGGAAGGAGGCTGGCAGGTACCACGGCAGCGCAAGAGGCGGGCACCGGGAACGCCGCCGCCGCCCCCTCGTACGAGGGGTAGACCGCGGGCGGATCAACTCCCGATGCAGCCAGCCCCCGGAGTCACGCCCATCTCGCAGCTTCTACAGCGGCAAGGCAGCGGAGCGGCCCAGACGCAGCAGCCGGCTAGTACCCAGTAATGATACTAAGTATCGTCTACTGGAATACGGCAGGAAGTAAGGCGCCGACGGCGGTGGCGCTCGAAGATAGGGAAGAGCACGACGTTATCGCGATACAGGAGCCGTGGATCAATCCGCAGCTCCGGACGACATACTGCCCGAGCGGGGGTCGATACCACAGAGTGTACGGAAGTGGGAGAGCGGCGCTATATGTGCACAAGCGTCATGCGGTAACGGCGTGGGAACAGCGGACGGGACAGGACTGGTGTAGCGTCACATTCGGACGAGGGGACACGGCGGTAACGGTCTGGTCAATATACTCACCGATCCGGACGAACCAACAGTGGGCCAGCCCGATCCACCAGCTGAGAGCAATAGAGCCGCAAGGTCGGAACATCCTTGTCGGGGACTTCAACCTTCATCACCCCTTCTGGGACAAGGAGGGTAGGGAGTCCAGAGGGGTGGGGGACCTCTTACTGTTGGCCGAACAATGGAGACTCTACCTCGCTACACCGTGGGGAGAACCAACTCGAACGAAGAGAGGTGACCGCGACTCGACAATAGACCTGGCGTGGGCAACAGAAGGGACTCGCGTGGAATTTCTAGGGGATCTGGGTTATGCGGGATCCGATCATCACGCACAGCTTGTCAAGTACTACGACGACGGGCCGCGCCCAAGCCGTGGCAAGGCCAAAGGATGGAACTGGAAGAAGCTCGACAAGGGACTTGTTAGGGCGGAGGCCGTAAACGTGCGACTTCCCCTGGACATCCATACGGAGGAGCAGATCGACGCCGCGGCGGACTCACTGGTAGAACAGCTCACGAGGATCGCGGAACTCGCGGCACCGAGAAAGAAGACGGGTACGGGACGCAGGGCAGGATGGTGGAGCGAAGCGGTCGAAGTAACCGTAACGGAAGCCAAGGCGGCGAGACGACGGTATCGCACGACACCGTCCAGATACACGTGGGAAAACCTCCAAGGGGCATGCTGCCGACAGAGGAGGGTGATCAAGCAGGCGCAAGCGAAATACTGGCGACGCCTAGTTGCCGAGGCCTCTTCCGACAACTCAGCGATTTGGAGACTTGAGAGATGGGCGCGGCTGAGGAGCCACGTCACACCAGAAGCATCGACGATTCCGCCACTTCGGAGAGACGCACCCGAGGCCCACCCGGCGACAACACATGCGGAGAAGACCCGGGTCTTAGCCGAGAGATTCTTCCCTAACCGGGGCGCGGACCTGTCGGATATTGCAGAGGACGCTCCCTATAGCGAGTCCGTACGGATCGAAAGGACAGCGAGCGCTGAAGACGTCGCGGAGATACTACGGGACACGGGCGCGTGGAGAGCGCCTGGAACAGATGACAACCTCCCAGTCGGATACCTCAAAGCCTGCGGTGAACCGGTAGCAGAGGCGATCGCACGGCTCGCCGACGCGAGTTTCGCGCTCGCCTACTTCCCTCGACGGTTCCGCAAAGCGGGGGTAGTAGTACTCCGCAAACCCGGAAAGACGACCGACCAGTACCAGACGGCAGGCGGATACCGCCCGATCGCACTCCTCAGCACGATCGGGAAGGTCATCGAGGCACTGATGGGACGCCGCGTGGCGCGAGCTGCGGAAGAGAACGGGCTCTTGCCGGACGGACAGATGGGCAACCGCCCCGGACGATCAACGGAGGTAGCGATACGATTTGTCACAGACGCCGTACGAACCGCGTGGCGGGAAGGAGGAGTCGCTTCGCTACTCCAGCTAGACATCAAGGGCGCGTTCGACACGGTCAACCACACCAGAATGGTGGATACGCTCCGCGGCCTCGGCTACCCGCGCTGGGTCGCATCGTGGGTCCGGAGCTACCTGACGGACAGGACAGTCCAACTACACTTTGACGGAGAAACGTCAGCGCCGATCGACCTCCGGGCCGGAGTCCCTCAGGGCTCGCCCCTCTCACCGATCCTGTTTCTTCTCTACATCGCGTCGTTATACCAGGCACTCGCACGGAGCCCTAACCTCCTAGTCGTAGGATTTGCAGACGACACAAACCTGATGGCGTTCAGCCGTAACGAAGCGGACAACTGCCACCAACTTCAGGAGGCGTGGGAGACGTGCCAGCGGTGGGCGGTGACTAGGGGGATGGAGTTCGCTCCCGAAAAGAGCGAGCTCCTCCACTTCAGCCGCGCCCACGCAGCCCCGCAACGACGAATCCGCTTGGGGACAACCGAGATTACGCCAGTCGCATCCGCGCGGTTCTTGGGAGTTTGGCTAGACCG